CAAGGAGGCATGCTGTCTTCTTAGATCTAGAAATGATTTTTGTCACCTCGTCTTCCGTTGCTTCCTCAAAGGCAGTAAGTAAGAGTGAAGGCTTCGGGAGAAGATAAGAGATCGGGGGATGTAATGGTGTTGCAACTGTCTGTTCTAATGATTCAAGTTCGCCATATATATTTACTGATTTTTGCGATGTAGAAAGATCCCATGCTGTCAGCTAGGTCTTTCAAAGACGTTGAGGGTGGGTGCGCTACGCGTTTGTTCTTACCCATAAGACTATTAACAGACCCATTTAAAAAAGGCAGGATTTTCAATTTGATATATATATATATATATATATATATATATATATATATATATATATATATATATATATATATATATAAACCGAATAAATGATAGGAATACCAACAGAAAGGGGAAAATTGGAGAATGATAAGACAAAAATCGAAAAAGGTAAAAAAAAAACTACGTTTTTAAAATAGCAAAAAAGTATATACCTACAGTTAATCACCTAGCTCTATACGTCATCCCCAGAATTTTAAAAGACATTTCCTTTTATTCCACAGTTCAATAACTGTAGACGTATTAACAGCAAAGGTAATTCTTCCATCACCACTAGGGTTACATCCTTTTTTATGGACGTTTTGTAGCATTCAGGCCATGTGCCTGTCGGTAATATTGCGCATTGTTATACAGCGAATGCAGAAAGTGCATTTTCTATATATATATATATATATATATATATATATATATATATATATATATAACTAGTGGGTCACACTTTCTGTCCTCGAACAAAATAGGTATATAACGTGCTACGGCACAAATAAACAAGCTGTTCATACAAAACCGGTTTACACGATACATATTAGCTAGTACATTTACAGGAGTCTGTAAGCTGGTCAAAGGAAAAAAGGTATGTGTGATAAATATTGTTTATGGATTTTCTTTAGGTCTTTACTTCTATTCATGATTATTTCTGACAATTGAACTGTGACGTATTATTTAGACTAAGGAACTATTCCCAGACCCTATAGTACTAACTGTGACTCTAACTGGGAATAGTACTTACTGGGATTCTCGCTAAATTGCAATCAACTTAAGCGGCTTAGATCACTGTCACGCCTAGTGAAGCTTCTATCGTTTAGCAGCTTCAGAAGGCATACCAGACATCTAAGCCGCTTAAGTTGACTGCAATTTAGCGAGAAACCCCTTGGATATGGATCGATCTTGTTAGATCGATCTAGGGTATGGGGGGCCCAGTGTTAATTTCCATTTACATCTACCGAAAGATTTGCTGCACAAAGCAAGCACAAGGCGGATAGTAAGATAGTATAAACTACAACATTGGTTAAAAAGGTTGTCCCACTCCCATTTCCATGTACTTTTATTTACAAATGATCACCTCACACTGTAAATTGTTAGAAATAGTGCTTTTTATTCCAGATACCGTGTCTAACATGATTAATGGTTCAAAAAATACAAAATAGGCCCTAGTGGTTAAAATATACAAATTTTATACCATTAAGTAAAATTTATAACAGGTACCCCCTCTGTAATTTCTATGGATGTAAAGAAATGTCTATTAAATTGAAAGGAGGCCATCAAATGTAACCAAATCTACACACAATTAGCATTAAGGTGTGCTCGTTAAAGATCACGTGCCTTAGGCTTCGTTCACATGGAAAGTCTATTTCCTAAAAATCTATTTTCTATTCGCGGTATCTTATGATCACGGTCTGTGCTCTGAATACCTCGCGGCGTTATTACTGCAGCGCGAGCCAGTTACTTCCAAAGCTGTAATTAATTCTCGGCTGTGCTCGGAGTGATCACAAGATACCGCGAATAGAAAATAGATTTTTAGAAAATAGACTTTCCATGTGAACGAAGCCTTAGGCTATTTTCTATTCGCGGTATATCTTGTGATCACGGTCTGTGCCCTGAATATCCCGCGGCGTAATTACTGGCAGCGCGAGCCAGTTACTTCCAAAACTGTAATTCTCGGCTGTGCTCGGAGGAGAGTCTGATACCTTGACGCATGCGCAGTAGGAAGTTAGATAGTTAATGGCGTTCGCGGTCGCTTTGAAAAATGTGTTTGTCGATTTTGTGCAAGGACAAGACGAAGAAGATGAAGAAGCTATACACACGACAGATACGAGTGCAACCGCCATGACCCGATGGCAAGCGATGCGGCAACGGAGGATAAGATTTTATAGAATGCGAGCACAGCCGAGAATTAATTACAGCTTTGTATAAGTAACTGGCTCGCGCTGCCAGTAATTACGTCGCGGGATATTCAGGGCACAGACTGTGATCATAAGATACCGCGAATAGAAAATAGATTTTTAGAAAATAAACTTTCCATGTGAACGAAGCCTAAAAGCGTGTGCGACTACCGCGTGCTACAATTATCTCCTGTAGATGGCGCGACAAGCCTTCAGCACGGGTAACAATTCTGTTTTGTAGGATATTGTCCCATTCTTCTTAAACAGCTTGGGGGAGTTGTTCCGCGTTTTTATGGGATATGTTCTCATCTGCATTGCACACTCCAATTTATGTCGCAGTCGATTAGTAAGGTTAATATCATCAATCAAAGTTGGTGGTTCCCTCCTTAGAGCATTGTGTTTCTACAACAATTCACTCGCCAGGCGAGAGGTGTGAGCAAGTGTGCTGTCTTGATGAAGCCTTTTAGTCAACCCCAAAGTCAGTTCTTGAAGATGGAGTGAGATATCAGCTGAGAATGCAACGTTCAGTGATCCCACAGGCATCTGAACCTGGACATCCATCACTGGAATGAAGTCTGTTTTGACGCAAAATCAATTTATTTCTCGTATTCCATCGATAGTCAAATGAGGGTCAGTAGACATGTTGAAAATGCCTCTTGGAAGGGTGTGTGCAGGATAATATTGCCTGAGGTGTTAGATCAGTCCGCATTTGGAGAACATTTCTAAGCCCATGGTATTAGTATGTTGTTCCTTTTGGAACAAAACGTAACTGGGGTATATTTTAATGTTACATTCTCAACAGACAGCTCACTTCATTTGCAAGAAGTGACTTCAGGGATGCTAGTCTTCATTGTGACAACGCACTTGATCATAGTTCTCATCTGGCAAGCGATTTGTTGCAGAAACACGGTTCTCTGAGGATGGGACAACCGTCTTTGAGTCATAATATTAATCCTACTGACCACCTGTGGCATTAATTGGAATGTGAATTGCATAGGAGGACCAATCCCCAAATGATCTGGACCAATTCCGCCACGCTCTTTAGGATGAATAGGACAATATCCCACAAAACAGAATTGTAACCCGTGCTGAAGGCTTGTGGCGCCATCTACAGGAGATAATTGCAGTACGCGGTTGCAGTCTGTCTCTTTGGCATCCTGGCAGCACGATGGCTTCCTATTAATTGCCATCTAATTACCTCTTTGAGTACTCCTTTAACCATTGGTTGGTGCAATATAACAAATTGTGCCCATGAAACTAGCCAAACTGGAAGCTCCACGTGCCATGGCCAAACTGTGTTTTTCGCAAATGGCATCCACATTCCATATTCTACAGTGTCCAACAGTAAATAGTACTCAAATGTCACGGTCTAGTAAGTCAAAATAAAGACAAGAGAAATATCTAGCTACATAAAAAGCTTGGTTGCTGAGAAATTTGAGAAATAAGCAAGTGTTGCTTAACTTATGAGCATCAGTATATATATATATATATAAGCACAACGCTTTTTATATGTAGCCTCAATATATGCAGTTCTTATGTAGTAAATGTTCTTAAAGAGAAGAATGATATTCTTGGACATTCAGACATTGGATACTTCTCTGACAACTTCTTTGTTGGTCTCAGTACATGATAATGATTGATTCCCCGGCTTCTTATTGGCAGAACAAAAATATTCCATTCATCTCTTTTTAATAATTTAAAGACATTCACCCTTTGGTTGCTTGAGGTCAGGATAACTCTGATTCTTCCTCATAATTCAAATTCAGCAATACTTGAGATATCTTATCATTACTCGTTTTGACTGACTGAGATCTGGCTCTTCTGTCAAGCTTGACAGTAAACTGTCAACCAACAAGGTAGCCAAACTGAATTTAAAAAGTAACAATGGCAGTGTTAACATAAGAACAAATATTTTAAAACCTTTAAAACATAAGAAAAGGCATATTATAAAGTATGGGTTCTTTAATTGTCGATCTTGAAACTCTTGTTAGGGCGTTTTGTCCGCCATTTTGAAAATTGTCATTTTGCCAACCTAAATGGCTGTTGTGAAAAAAAAATAGTTGCACGTGTATGTTTAGCATCATTTTTGGCCATAGAAAACACTCACTTAAGAAAAATGTGTGCTTCACTCGACACTTTTCAATACAATTATTTACACATAATTACTACAGTTACTGTATATGTAGTGCATATGCTTTGTATGCATTTCCAAAAATAGTAAAATAACCGACCTAAAGAATGCTCCTAGCTCAAATTTCTAATCAGAAATGAACTTTTTGGACCATTTTGCCTTTAAAAGCATCTGTCCCTTGAGAGATTTCCTAAAAAGAGTTATTATTTACCCAACCCTATAATTATAGCCTAAGGCAATTTCGGTAATGGAACTCGTGAACTCAATGCGGTCGATTTTAAAGAATAGAGTCTTTGTTCGTTGTCTGCCGTATCTCTTATCTCTAGTGCTGTGTAAAATGGGACATGCTACGATATATAAACATGTTGAAGTGAACGTTTTCTGAAGTGTGGTACGTCACAAAACAAAATGTTCATGTTGATTCACCGTATAGATCTTGGTAATAATAGAAGTATATTCATACATGTTATTCCCCGAAGAAGACCCATGGGCCGAAAGCTCGGACTGTATTCAACAACTATTATGTAGATCTTTCTAGATGCATCAAAATATTTATACTTCTAAAACAAAATGTTAAAATGGAATTTCATGATGTGAAAAAAGTTTTAAATAAATAACACACGCAATGTACCATGTCCTGCCAATATGATGTATTTAGTTTTAAAGAAATAACACATGCAATGTATCTTTCCTTGAAAATGTGATTCATTTATTTATTCATTCCTAATATTTCTCAGATGAAGGCAGTAATCCTGGCAGGAGGCTATGGAACCAGACTGGAAAGAGATCTGAAAGCTGACACCTCAGGGCAGTACAGTCATCTGATAGGGGTGCCCAAACCACTGCTGCCCATCGGACACTGTCCACTGATATCACACTGGACAAAGGTGCTGACCACACTGCCCAGCTTGGATGGTGTTTATGTCGTGGTGAGCATGGACTTAGTGAGGATGTCTTTGCTTACATGTTCAGTATACTTACTCAATACTGACAATACTGGGTTTAAACTAGGGGTTTACAGGGGGGGGGGTCTTTTTCGGAAAATTTAATGCAGACCTTCATACCCCAATTAGTAAAAAAAATGACACGACACATCATTTATATTTTGATATTAAATGGCCAAAGGGGCAGTTTTCCTGAACATCTTTACCTCCAGAGTAAGACATTTGACAAATGATAATTTAACATTTGCAGTTTGATCATTAAAAGAAAACGAAGTAGATACATGCACTTATATTGTTATGCAATGAAAACATTTTGTTTGTAATTGCAACATACTTATTTGAAGATATGATCATCAACATTTCATGACAAGCAGCAACAAATAAGTTGTTAAACAATAACTGTACATAATAATAATGTTTTAAAATAAAATTACACCTCACTCTCCAGACCAATGGTACCAACCATGAGATGTTTGTGACGTGGGCCAAGGACTGGAGCTGCGTGCAGCTGGTGTGTGATGGGAGCACGTCGAATGAGGTAAGTCATGCAGAACACGTGCATGCATGATGTGTACAAACACACACACACATGCATGCTAACACACACACACACACACACATTCCATGCATTGTGATGTCTTCTCATACTTTATTTGCTTAAATTTTGTTTTGAAAATGTGTTTATTGTATAATAAGACTTACCGTTTTCAACTGCCAAAATAATAAAACAAAATATAGAAATTATAAAGACAACATGTCAAACAGTTATATTTTGAAAGACGGGTTATTTTCTCTCATAATGTCACCAGCGCAGGCCAGGGGCAGTGGGATGTTTAGAACTGTATGTCCGACAACATAATGTCCAAGATGATCTATTGGTCATAGCAGGGTGAGTGGTGTGTCCAGTTTCTCCTTTAGTATTAAACCCCCTTTGCTCTAGACAACATCCTTTCTGCGTCCTTTATACAAGCATGAAACTGGCTGTGGTCGTAAGAAAGAGACACAGGCTTCAATTTGGTCGCAAATGAATGCTCAATGATCGGTCAGTTGTCGGCACGTAAAGTATTTTCCTTTTTTACTCTCCAACGGGACCGTACTACAGGACACAGAGAGGACGCCCTCCAGTGTAAAGGAGGCTTCAATACAATGTCTACTATCTGTCTTATCATTTGGCAAGAAGTACCTGCATGGGTGTTGCAAGCAGCATGTAGTGTTTGAAATATAGCCTGAATAATTTTTGTGTTAAATAGAACATTTTTATCATTTAAATTCAAAGGTTTACACATTTTTTTTGCTACAGTAACTATAACAGATAGACTGTCTAATGAGTCAGACATTGAGCAGTCAATTTGGTATTTATTTTATACATTTTATTTCAACCAGTAGCAATAATTAGTGTAATTTAATAAATGTTATGTTTAATTTTACAGTGACACCCTATTTTTTGATGACTTTGACTTGAGTCAGCTAGTCCAGACATTTGAGTCATTTAAAACCAAAGACCCTGATGCCAGTATGCTGGTCTATGTGACATGCACAGATGAAGGTAAGTAAGGGAAAATAATTAGGTGTGTAATTGAAATAAACAAAAATAAAACAAAGCAAGGAGAACAAGCATATACCAGTAATAAATGTTAAGGAAAGCAAGCAGAACAAAGAGTGCAGATATAAATTAACAAGCTCTATAAGGCATATTTTTTATTTCAACATATTGTGCAAATAGCGGGAGTTATTTATTTATTTATTCTGTTTCCTTCTTCTCTTGGAGTAATTTAATGACACATTTTGCCAGCCCTTTCAGTAGCAATATATCTGTCATTTTGTTATCACATATTTAGGTAATGAAAGACGGAATTATAAAAATTCCTTTTCATCCACTTACAGAGGTGCATAAGTATGGGATTCTTGAAATGAATGAAGAGAATAAGGTGGTTGGATTCCTTGAAAAACCCCAGCCTTCAGAGACCTTGTCTAGGAAAGAGGTAGTGGACGCTGATTTAGCTCAAAAGTTGACTGCAATGTAATTTTTACTTATAAATCAAATCATAAGTACTGCCAGGCATAAGGGTCTTTCTGTCACTGTTTAGTTATTTTAAAACCACTTCACTGAGTGACAATATGTATATGGCAGTCCATTGATTCAGAATAATTATCTTTCTGTGTTAATTTCCTTTTTGAAGCATATGTACATGTATATATCTGTTTTAGGAATATCCAAATTATTTGACGGCTTCACTGGAATCTGTACTATATGTTGCTTGAAATCGATTCCTTTTATCATATTGGAGTAAAAGTGAACGTTGTGTAATAAAGATAATAAAATTATATATGTGTATGTAGCCGTATGAATGTATTTTCTTCACTCGTGTTCGTCTTTTGTTTTGTCACGTGGGCGTCATCTTACTCTCTCATTCCCATTGGTCATCTTTCCCGCCTTTCGTCGCTTATATCGTCCCCGCCCTTTTTCTGTCATTCTTCTTTGCTCATCGCTCTTTATATATTTACAGGTACGTGGTCAATAGTTTAATTCTTTTATGAATATTATCATTATTATTATTATACTTATTATATATTAAGATTATAGCTATTAATAACATTATTATGATGATCGCACATTCTTCTTTGCTCATCGCTCTTTATATATTTACAGATGGTATGGAATAAATAAGAACAAAGAGAAATAGACTTTGTTGTGAACCGTTGCATGTACATTTTTTTTATTTACCAGTTTCTATCCTTTATTTTTAGTGCCCATGTTTTTATTTCTTGTCATCCAAGTGTCTTCCACTGCTGTCTCAGTTCTTAGTGGAGAAGAAGGTGAGTATGGTGACCTGAGGAAAATATCTGTGACCTGAGGAAAATATCTGTGTGAAAAACAGAGTGTGATTTCTTTTGACTTGTTTTAGTTATGCCAATGAAGAGCTCTCTTGTTGGATAGCATGAAGGTTTTTTTTCATGATTTTAGTTTCAATTTTATGAGCAGTGTTCTGAAATGAATTTTAATGTCTTTAAAAAAATGACTAATTTAGTATAAATCATAATTAACAGAATACAGAAGAATTTGAAAGACTAGTAAAAACTATAAGGAAAGTTATTTATTATATAGAAACTTTTATTTTTCACTGTAGGATTTGCCATTGAAGGCCAGAGATGCAACTGGAAACTTTATTGCTTATTTATACCAAAGGTAAAATACGGCGTTTTGTGTCTTTATGCTTTATAACGTGTTATACTATTTCAGTAAGGGAATTAAATCATCAGCATTGTATCCATTCAAAAATGTAAAAGGCAGTAAAAAAAGAATTGACTCGATTTCAAAATAGATATTTTCATCTGAAATATATGTGCTGACATTTTTAGTGAATAAGCAGCATTTGTGTGGTGCATGCAAGTATTTCAAGAAACTGGAGCACCACCAGATGTCAGCACCTGACTGCCTTTTGCTTTCTAAATGGGGCCTTACAGCTGGTCTTCTATTCCAGGCAGGCTTTCTTTTCTTGAGCCATTTTTACAGATTTACACATCTACAGATTTTATTTTGGTTTCTTTCTCAGAGCTCCAGTATACGCCACGGAGATTTCTGGACGTTTTGATGTTGGTGGACTCCAATCCTTCCTCATTTGCCAAGAGCATTTCCAGAAAAAAGCCGAGACTGAATTTTAGGATGATAGGTAATGGTAATGTCTCTTTTAGGTAATGTCTCTTTATACATCACAGTACTTCAGAATAGTATTTAGAGACAAATATAGGTGGCAACTACTGCTGGGGCTCCGGGAGATGGTGTCGCCCTCTATTGACATGCAGAATCTCAAGAACGTACGGCTTTCGAGCTGAAATAATAGTTTGGATTATGGACAGATAGGAAGAGTGATTGGGTCGGCTGGCGGATGTTGCAATATAGTTACGAGTATTAATCTATATTCTGTAAAATTTTAACTTGAGCCCAACTTCAGTGGCTGCCATGGTAAAAATAAAGATATGTCATTTTAAACCACATGACTGTGTGAACATGAATGTCTTTTGCTTTGAAAGAATTGCTCAATAATGGTTAAAATATTTATTATTATTATTATTATTATTATTATTATTATAGTACAAAACCAATATATTAATAGGGTGATCAGTATTTCATGTTTTCCCTGAACAGAAACTGCATTTATGTGAAAAATTGATGATATAATTATAATAATAAAAAACAGAAAAAAAAAATATTTTCAAGCTTTTTTATTCATTGTCTATTTTCAAATTAAAACCAGCTATAAACGGCTGCTAAATGCATTTAAAGATATTATTTCATGAAAAATTTACCAAATCAGAATCGCATCCAGTCAACATAATTTGTCATACCACTATTTCTACAATTTAAAAACCACAACAGCTATGAAGTAACATCCTATTAATTAAAAATCACCAAGCACCATGTAACCTTTTGTAGTTATATATCAGAGGTCAAGGTTGTATGAAAGGTCAATGTCAAGGTCAGATGGTCACGCCCCTACACAGACCCATCTGGGAGTAAACCTGCACCATGGCCTCGGCCCCTGAACGAGCATGGTAAGACACCACGTCCTCGCACCCGAATGTGTAGTCCTGGACGCACTCCCGGAAGGAGCTGATGACGTCACAGGGGTCAACGCCCTGTTTGAGGTCAATGACCATGAGGTCACCGCAGTGGCAGATACTGGCCTGGCTGCAGCGAGCGATGGCAGAGGTGTTGTCTGATCCTGCAAAATATATAGAATACAAAAGACCCATTTAAAAAAAGCAGGATTTTTAATTAAAAAAAAAAAAAAAAAAAAATATATATATATATATACAGACTTGACATTTAATATGGAATATTTTTTTCCAAATCATTTTTCATCAGTTTTTTCCTATTTTGCTCACTGATAAATGAAAACAAGGATTAAAATCATGTTATAATAACTTTTAATTATCTCTTTGATGTCATTGTGACATCAGTTCATTGATGGAATTCGCCAGAGAAGCAAACAAAAACATATTGCCTATTCTATGTCGTACGACAACCATTAAAAGAGATTTTTTGGACCTCCATATTTTCCAAATTATTGTCTGTAAAAGAGTCACACGCTCCACAAAGGACCCTCATGTTATTCTCTAGTCACAGTAACGGTCGCTGTTACGCCTGACCTCTTCTGGCTGCTACCAGCGCTCTCAAGTGGCAAGGTATTCCTTGGGTTAGGTTTTTAAAGTTCAATCTGGAATAACATTCCAGGCATCGGTCAAAATCTGTCCAATTTGGTCCAGTTTTGTTGTAGGACATGTAGGTCATTGATTCGGCGAGTAATGGCCTACCCACATATTGTCTATGTGGTTCAAATATGGCGATTTTGATGACCAAGGTAGCTGCTTATTCCCTTGGTTCTGTACTTAATCTGCTATTAAAAGTGCTCTGTGTGAACTGTCAATCTCACCGTGCAACCTAAAATTGTTCCTAAGTTGCCCCCTATCAAATGATAGCCAGGTGGTTCCCAGATTATTTCTTTATTTGATCTGGTTCAGGATTTTGTCGATGACTACCATTGGTGTTTTGGCACCAATGTGGTATCCACTCCAAATTCTGACGCTGTTAATGACCTTAGTCACTTTAGACGCGACGCACGCTTCGTCGTTGGCCTCTTCTGGATGTCTGTTAACTCTGTTTTGGCTGTTGAGCGGTACAGGTGAAAACTGACCTCAATAAAGAAAGCCACGAAATTTCAGTGTTCAACCCAGAAAAAGTCAAGGTCCCCAATTCATTAGAGAAACATACAACAATGTTTAGCTATTTACAGGGGGTTCCTCGTAGGTTGTCTGGTATTCTAACCTGCTAAAACCAGTTTGGTGTTCGCTAAGGGCCTTGAAAAATGCATTTTGGTGGCAATTTACCCCCCCATTCTGAACGGACAGGGTAGTTTTTGTTTAGTTGCAACAGCATATCCCGAAAGACAGTGGGTCCTGTACCCTGGTGGTAAGATTTCAGTACATTGGGTGTGGTCTCTGTGTAGGTTGATCAGTCTGGGCATTACTCTATAAAACTGTGCGGACCGTTTCGTTTGGCGCAATTATCTGTCTGGCAGTGCCTGTCTTTTTCGGGCCATTCTGCCACAGATTAACAAATTCGTAAAGCACTGCATAGCTCATTTTACACAATGCAAACCCGACCGCTTGCATGCAAAATTTCAAATTCTTCTATGCAGTAGTTGCCGACATATGGATGCTTTTTTGACAGAACCCTGCTTTGCCAAAGCCAAGCTTTGACCTGCCCAAAGGACCACTACCCAATTAAATCACTGCATATTACATAATGCAGCAGCTCAACAAACCTGGTATTCACTTAATTGGTAGCGACACACCTGACTACACACTTTTTAATTCACATATCTTATTTGAGATCAGAGTTTGTGAAAAAAGAACGCATTTTCACCTAGGCATACCTTCGAAACTGAGATATTCCATATTAAATGTCAAGTCTGTATATATATATATATATATATATATATATATATATATATATATATATAACAGAATAAATGATAGGAATACCAATACAAAGGGGAAAATTGGAGAATGATAAGACAAAAATGGAAAAGGTAAAAAATAAAATAAATAAATAAAAACTTTCAAAATTAGCAATAATGACAGGTTCAGTGGTTGCTTAAGGAAAATA